TATAGCTTGTTACCAACAGCAGTCATTGTTGCAGCGGTTCTTGGGGCAGGACAATGTCCTTTGACGTCTGCTTTGCTCCATGTTCGAGATTCTGATTTCATAAAAATAAAATTGGAAATACATTTGATGAAACAATGTACAGCCTCACTTTTACTCAATGTTCAGTCTGATTAATCCATGCTTGTGGTGTATAAGATTAAATTTCAGTATGCAAATCACACTGCATGATAAATGCAATCCCAGTGATTGCAGAGCAGCACTTTAAAGGAAAGCACTTTGGCTTTCATTGGTTTGTGCAGGAAATTAGTAGAACCATGATAGTGATCGATATATACATGTATATCGTTTTTATCAACAGAATTTAGGCAGGACTCGAAGACATACCTCCACTTTATGCAATTTTTTTTTTAATTATTCTAATTTATTCATGACGTAGCAGTTTCTGTGCTCTTGAATATTCATTAATTTGTGGGTCAATACATTCTAAAAGGGGCGATATATTATTTTGGGGGGAAGAGTTAGAAAGGGGAATTAGCAATACTTAGGGGGTCAATACAAAAGAAGGGACCCATTTGGAGAGCAGCCATGCTCCTCGTGTCTGTTGTTGTTGTTGTTGCACGTGACTTGCAGCTGTCAACTGTGTTTGTACTTCGACGATTTGTAGGCTTCGACTGGCTTCCATGTGATGTAGTATTCTTGTGCTCTGTTTTTCCGACTTGAGTTCTTGATATACAGAAGTTGTTGTTTATGTTTTTAACGTCTTTCATATCTTGTCTTGTACATGTAGGAGTGTCCAGTCCGTGATTTGAACTTGCAATCTTTGAGTTCTCAGCGCACTGTCTTGTCCACTGTACCACGAGTGTCTTCACACAAGTGATAGGATTTAAGTCCTATTTATAGGAGCACTGTTCAACCACACGGCCATTTTGCAACAAAGTGTGTGACCCTTGGCGTGACCCGACTGACTATATGATCGTTCTGTTCAACTGTTAAGCTAAGATTTATTACTGTTATTATCATTATATTGTCACATGATTTGTTTTACCTTATGTGTAATGTCTTAAGTATCTTTATTGTAATTTGTATATACCAATTCATATATACAGAGGAAACGACCATGATTGAAAGTCATGTATTTTGTGACGTCACCAATTCGTGTGTAGGTACGGCTTCTAGAACCGTGCCAATAAATATTGAATGTAACCTCGAAGAAGTAATACTTTTGTTACAAAGTGAAGTAGAAGATGAGGAACATTATTTGATTGGATGTAAATATTTTGAAAAAAAAATATTATTGTTTTGAAAAATTAGAAAATTTAAACAAAATTATACATCTACTAACTAATGATATTAAAAAAAATCTGGTGAAAAAAATGGTGTATTTCTAAAAGTTTAAAAAATAAAAGAAAGTGTTACATTAATTTTATACTCTGTTATGTTTGTTTTACTTGAATTATGACTATTTTTTTTTTATTATTTAATTTACTTGAAGACTGCGATACACTGTAAACAACAAAATAAATGACACCATGGTTACAATGGTAACAATCTTCTGTTTCAAACATTTGATTTTTTGCAAATTAATTATTGATTTGAAGTTTTCGATTCTTGTTTAGAATTTTATATTTACCTTGTTAATTCACTTTTTTTATTGTACTGGAAATAATGTCCAAACTTATAAACAGTATTAAATTTACGTACACACACCTATCCCCTTCAAAAACAAAAACAGTCACAATCGCCGACAACAACTAGAAACATACCTAAGTTAAATTTGAGAAGATCGCTTGACTCCACTATATCATCATCATCTCCGCAACAAACCACGCCACCGAAGACATACAAACAGTCGCCAACACCACAAGCAGTGTGTCCGTATCTCGAAGGAAAGGGATTATCACAATCGATCTTCGTCCACTCTACGCTCACGTCATTGTTCAAACGTTGCCCATATGTAATATTCTGTGAAGATGCCTCGTTGCCCATTTTAAGAGTTGTTTTGAACAAGTTACGCAGTTATCCGATAAAAAACTCTAGTTTTGTGAAGTTTCGCGGGAAAATCCGGTTAATTTGCAAATGAGATGCATATGTCAAAGATCAACTTTCGGTGGTCGACGCAAGAGGGCGCAAAGAATCAAATTCCTAGTTGTTGGTGTGACCAGGGAGCTTGGCGTGAGTATCGGATTAAAAATAAAAATATTTATTTATTTATTTATTTATTTATTTATTTATTTATTTATTTATTTATTTATTTATTTATTTATTTATTTATTTATTTATTTATTTATTTATTTATTTATTTATTTATTTATTTATGAACTAACGGAAATGGCTAATAAATATTAAAATAACAGTTGTACATAATTGAAAAATATGTCTAAAGAAAGCATCGACATTAATAATGCACTAATTCACATGATTCTGGACCGTTAACCACGTTGTTGGTGGCAGTAATCAGTCAAGACTAGAGTCAGAGTAAGCATGAGAACAAGGGTGTCAGCCTAAGAGCAACATTTCCAATTTTATACGCTAATTATATTGCTAGTCTGACCGGACCCAAAACAAATACTACTCTAGCATCCATGGCCAAGAGAAGCTGATTTCATATTTCTGAAAAGCACGTTTAGCATTAAAAAAACATACATGGTTTTACATTTCTATAATTTTTAAGTCATGCACAAATGCACTGACTTTTAGCAGTGTTCATGTTCAAGCTCTAGGACGGGTTTAAAAATGTCAATCGTGCAAGTCAAAAAATTAAGTTTGTCAATTCTGATTCTCATTTTTACTTGCAGACATGTACTGCATAGATATATACATATTAGTGGGTCACGTCATAATAGTCTGTTTGCCATACTTATATGTCATATCAAATGAAAAAATCAAGTCACTTAATCATCAGCCCACTCGTCATACTCGCGATTGTTGGAAACTCGGGGGGATTTAAAAAATTAATGGCAAAATAAACTCAATACCCTGGCAAAACTGTCACTAAGACGGATGTAAGCTTAGCCCATGCTGTACCTACACTGAGTTGCAAATTACATAGTGTATGCATTCAGCCAGGTGATACGTAGTCACGCCGTGAAAAGTAAGAATTATAGTTCTACTTACTCAAGATTGTGTCTGATTGACTACCCTACCCTGACACCTAACCGTCAGACCAATCACAAACAGCTTCTTTGTTGACAGGGTTTATCGACGTATTACATTTTGCCTTGTATAAATGCTTCGACTCAACTTTGAATTTGAATTAGTCAACTTCTTATATCACTGAGAAAGAACGCCAGACAATACAAATAGGCTGAGTTGCAAATAACAATCTTAATAAAAGCAGTGTACGTTTACAAAATTGCTTTTATACAGCAATTACCAAAACTGAAATGTCAAATTTCATTAAGGATGTAATAAAGTATTATTCTATTCTATTCTATTCTATTCTATTCTATTCTATTCTATTCTATTCTATTCTATTCTATTCTATTCTATTCTATTCTATTCTATTCTATTCTATGTGAGATTTGCAGATAAATAACGTTCGAATGAGTACATAGACAAGGCTGGCTCCTGGAAAGATGATTCGTGTTTTTTTTTTGCTATAACTTAGCGAAAATGGGAATTTCTTTAAATTGATGAGTAATTACGTAACGGTGGTGTACGCTCAATCCCACTCCATGTACATCACCGCTTCTTATTTCGCTTCGAGGTCTGCAAATGTCACTGGGAAGCCAGAGAAGAAAATATACGCGATGAAACTCTTAATGACGAGACTGACAGATGTGTTCTGAGAACATTGGAGATAAGTGTTTATCTTTGATGAGCGAGATCACATAAAATAAACTGTTACAGTTAGTCAAGTGCGGATGAGTACATAAACATAAAGACGAATTATTGTAATGTCGGATTTTGATGTGTCTAATACGAGAAAAGGCTGGTTTGCGGACGAGGTTTTCATGGTCACTTGGCTATAATTGGACATCGTGCCAACATTTCTAGTTATTGATGTTGGTAAGATGTCCGTGTCACCAATTTTCATGATTGGGCAGCAAATTAGTGAAAAGTTAGTGAAAATGAAAGGTTTAATAGATCCCAGACTCATAGAGCCCCGTGGAACACTGTATTTTAGATAGTCAGAGTTAGATGAAACTGAATGATTGACTACAACTTGTCGATCACAGTGGTGTTATTTTAACCACACAATAAGAGTCTCTGGTTTGACAGGTGGTATAAGTGTTGTGTGAATTGCTGTGTAAAATCGCGCAGACAAGTCTGATAAAACTAACAAGACGATATGTGATTACCGAAGACTTGGAGAATGTAATTTCATTTTGTACAAAATAACATTTTGAAGATGTGAAAAACAAACATCGCTACTGAATAACAGTAAATAAAGTTGTATTTATTTGAAAAAAATGTAATATTGACAAATATTCATATAAAATAGCACCAACAACACTCATCTGAGAGATGCACACAAGTCTGACATACTGTATTGTTATGACCGCAATACAGAATTTCCGACCCACTGCAATCACTTAAAGGACGGTGATCGTAATTTAAACAAACAATGTATTTTGAGTCCCATATCAATCAGGACGCGGTACAACGACCACCACCCTTTAAATATACAGTCTGTCAACTTTTGGGTGCGAATATATTTTTATAAAAAGTATAAGCTTTATTTTCTATTTCTATTTGACATCTTTATATCTAAATATTATTTATTTGTTTATATGTACTAGCGTTTAATCTACTCGTGTTCCTAGGTCCTGTATTTATACAATATCTCCGTACATAAACTGCACCGGGATAGGAAATGATAAGTTTCTATTGCGATTGGGATAAAACGAACGATGTACAAAAAGACAGACGCTGGTGGCGCACACATCCACCGTTTAATCATGCAAATGTTAAATTCCATGCAAGCGACGTCACATTGTAAACTGTTTAATGGCGGATATGGTGGTTTGTCATCTCTCACGATTTACCTCGCCTGCCAAGAACTTTATCTACGCAGATGATATTTCATGTCGCCCGACGATGCGATAAAATACAGTGTTTATAGGTGTCGTACTTGGCGCGTTTTTGAAATCATTTCGATCTGGCAAATCTCGTTTAAACTCACAGCATGGTTGGTTAGAAAACAACTTGAACAAGATTTGTTGGGGCACCAATAATTTATATGAATGGCGCAACCGTTATAGCTTTGGTGTTTTTTAGCTTTCGTTTTAATGGAACTCTGACTGACTCTTATTCGCTTGAATAATAAACATTTGGATTTACCGTCGGAGGAACAACAACAATGTCACTGCGAGCGGAAAGACAGAGAAAAAAAGGTTGTTGAACGATTTGTTTTATTGAGATCAGGAAGTAGGCCGACGTATGTTGTGGTGATTCGTCCTTTTCTGCAACCACAGTGAATTTATCAGTAATTTTCGAGTTTGTAATCTCGAAACCGGGATCTTTTCGACGATGGACAGTCAAGGTAGGTTTTTTTTTAGTTTGGTGTCAGATCGTGTGAGTGGCATCATATGTTGTTTTTTCAGTCCTCTAACCTGTCCTGTTACAGTAATAATCCGTGTTCCTGTTTACGTTTGGTTTGTGTCTTGTTTGCACTCAGAAAACAATAATACGATGAAAAATACTTTCAATTTCGAAAAATAAAATCTGAATATAGTTACAATAAATTTCCGTTAGCTACTTTTGAGGGCGAATTTACATGTTTCGCGTAAATATTACATCAGAACTCAAAATTGGTGTTAAAATTAGAATATAACTAACTGTATAAAGACAATTTTAAGTAATAAGGGTGGTGTTCTCAGTTCAATCGTGTTAATGTCATTTGTTATGAATTCCATTCATTTTGCTTATATTACCCTTGAAGACTAAACAAGACACATCTAGTTTGAGGTATAAAAATCATCAAAGATGATGTAAGATTGTTCTGTGAGCTACATTTATTGTAACATATTTACAAATGACTGACTTTGGTGCTGTACCTGGGGTACAACTATTACAAATCTGTTCAGTTCAGTGATTAAATAAATATTGACATCATTTAAAATAATTACATTATAATATTAGTTTTGATTTTGAATCATGCTAATATAATGCTCATCAGTTTTATTAATGTTTCTGGTAACGGTGTATGTCAGGTAATTAAAAATGAAAAGAAAAAAAATCATAAATACTATGAAAATTTCAAATTAAAAACAAAAAGCCGCCCACGGTGCATGTGCTTATTTCATCAATAATTGGACCCTAAACGTTTGTCTTGTTCTAATGTGACATTTTTAGCAGCTCTCCGATTACATACCATTCTTTTACTAATTATGCCTGTAGCGATAATTCACTGAATTATGAATACCAGGAAATATCATGTTTGATATTTGTAATACCCCCAAGAATTATTTGACATTTACTTGTCAGCACCAGCACTCTTTTTTTTTTTTTTTTTTTTTTAATAACATACCTGGATAATGTTATTAATTGATTATTATTCTTTTTATTTGGAATCCAATTCTGTCCTGTCACATTGATGCAATCATTTGGACAACGCACAACATTTTTCATTGCCATTTTGGATCGATATCTTTCAGTTAATTATTTTGACAACCAGGAAAAGATGTATTCTAATCATGGGTTTTCCTAGAACTGCAAGAGCCTCATAAAGAGGGAGCACTGCAATTCAGCGACACCACCAAGTGGGGGAGTTAGGCTTCCCCCTACCAGGGTGTGGAGTTTTGGATAACTAAGTTAAAATCTAGCACTCTATGGCTTCCTTGGGCCAAAATTGCTATCAGACAGGTCACAGTTGAAGACTGTAGCCACATGTGATCCCTGGTCAATCAGAATTTATGGTTGCCAGGGGATCTGCTCCCCAGGGTAAGGGGCGCATGACCATAGCATGAGGGTGCTGCGTCCCTGTTCTCTTGTTTAAAAAAAAATCTCTACTAATAAGAAGGATACCGCAAAGTATGCTCTCAGGCTGTATAGGAATGCACCAACCTCTGCAATGTTTCAGTTAATAAAAACGCCACTCTCCTCGTGTATATAATTTGTTGTATTCTCATCATAACCTAATAACAGATTTCAGTGCATGAAATGTAGACAAACTATAATATGTATAGTTATTATCAAAACAAAACTGTTCAATATACAATTGTATGTGTACGTTTGGTCTCTTTTAAGTTGATAGCGAGCAAAACTTCAAAAATGTTAACATGTAATAATTACATGTACATGTATCTATCACCATGGTGTTCATAATTATTCACACATATTGTACCATGTTTTGTTAAACCAACTTTGTGGAATGTCTTTTTAGTTAGTGATACTTTTTTGATAACCTAAGAGGCAATGTCATAAAGGAATCCATGTGAGTCAAATGACTTTAGACACCTTGTTAGCCTTTCTCTGCCCTCTGACCCCATCATTTTGATGAATTACAATTGAACACCAGTGTTGTATGTAGGTCACTGTCACCTCTGTTTGGTACCAATCTGTTAAAAATAGTTTTCTGTTGTGACAAAGTTACACTTCCAGATAAAGAACTCTACCGATATATTATGCGAAATATTTGATGAAATTTGAGATCATTTCCACAAGATTTTCTATTATTCATGATTAAATAATCCAGATCAGATTAGGATCAGTACTTGGCAACAAACCTCATATACATACCTTCAATTTATTTAAAAATTTGGCCAAATAAAATTGTTACATAACCATCACATGTATATATTTATAAAAACAATAACATAAAACTGAACTAATAACATCATAGCTAACAATAAGTCTAAGGCAAACTGTAATGACTGAGTAAAAAACAATAGTGGTGTTCACATGTGCTGAGATTCTATGCTGAGTCTGCCCATGTCAAAACGTGTGTGTTAACATTTGTTACTGAGTTGGCACATGCTGAAAAAACTTAATCTCAGTCTGAACCAAACTGAAATCACACCGTCGACAGTGTCAAAATATGATCTGTTGGAATTGTACCATTTTAATAGAAGCTGCGGCTTCTAATACAGATTTTACAGTAGTAAGATTTTGCTATGTAGCCAGCATGATATAATAATATAGTCTTTGTGCTCCACTTCACTGAGAGAAAACACTTCTCAGATTCCTTTTTTTTCTGGGGTTTTTGGTCGGGTATGTCTTTCTTTTAAATCTTTAATTGATGATAACTTAGATGAAATCTAAGTAGCCCTTCACCATCATTTGAATAATAATGTTACTTTACATACTAGGTTTTTTTTTACCTTTCTTGTTTAGTTCTATTTATTGTTATTGAAAACTTGTCTTTTGTCTGCAAATTGATATTATTGTTTTATCGAAAATTTAGTAATGTTATCTGTCTTGCATGTATCTATAATTTGTGGTAGGTTTATCTATTTGTCAATGTAGTGCTATATTATTGTGTATTGAGTTGTCACTCAGTGTGTGTCCAGGGTGTAAAACAAAGATCCTGCATTGCATTAAATTGTTAGTATACATGTAAATACACTTCTATCACAAATTTGTTTTCAAGACAGCATACATGGTGATTGTTTTCATAAATAAAAACATCTTGTGGGTGTTTGCCAAGTTGGCTGTGTGCACTCATTTCAAGTTACTCAAGGATGTGGTTTACGCTTGATTTATCCATTTTGGAATTTTAAAATGGCAATTGAAAATCACCTGACTGATGACAGCAACTATGAATTTGAAATGATTTGAGTCTTGTCTAATCTGTAATCAAGTCATGCATACAGGGTGGTATGGTATCTCAACAGAAACATATTCACACAAATTATTAACAAAATACATAGGTAATCAGTAATAAATTTATACCAATGTTGGTGATATTATGGATTTATTGTAAATCTGAGTTGCATATTTTCAATTTTTCATTGTAATAGCTTTCATCTATCCAGATATCACATCTACATGTAGCTCCATAAAGATGAAATTAATTAGATGATTCTTTAATATTAAACAGTTTTGTCAACAATCTTATTATTATTTAATTAGAATATTTGGAGTTTAATCAATTAGTTGATTTCAGCTCATCCCCAGCCTATCTGTGGAGGGTATCTCAGGTGATATGTTAACCCAAAAGTGAGTGACCCTTCTAGAAAATTTCTCTGTAAGACATATTATTGATTGTAGTTATCTAAAGTTTGCAGATGGCAATGCTTGGCCTAGTTACATTATTTAGCTTGACAGGAGTTTGGTTACAGGAATATCATATTTTAGTAATTTATTGAATGCAGTATACTCATATTTCCTGTCTTTCATTCTGTGTCTACGTGCGTATAACAATAACTGTTCATGTGTGTGATATACCATGCATTTATAGCTAAAACTTTCTCCAGACAATAGACACTAATAAACGAATGGACTCCTAGATGATAATCTAACAAGACAGACTCACTGAGAACAAAAACTACCCAATATTATCAATATTATATAGCATTCAATTTTACAAAATAACTTGGAAAATTCATTCAAGACATCATGTATAAAAACAAAAAATCAATAAAGTCTTAAAAATCACTTTGGAGAGTAAATACATTAAAATTTATAAAAAAAAAAAATATTTCAAACAAAAAAATTTAAATTGAAAACTAGAGGAAAAATTTAAAATAAACTATAATTGAGTGACATTTTTAAACAAGTTGGACTCTGAGAAAAGAAAATGTACATAATTTATAATTATCAATCACAGTTTGGAAATAGAAAAAGACACACAAAACCTAGACTGTCGACAGTCCCTCTGGCCTTACGTGTGTGTGTGTTTTTTTTTTATTATTAATATTAATCAAACGCCGTAGGCGTTTGCGAAATGCCGAAGGCATTTCAAGCGAGGGCCGTAAGGCCCGAGAGACTGTTATAGCCTGCTGCGCCACCACTCGCCACTGTAGAGAAATTCTCCTGTAGCGTACCATCATGATTGACAGGCAGAGTGATGTCATAAAAATGCTAACCAATCACAAGTCACGCAGTCCCAGGTCAACAGGAAGTAAAAAAAATTGAGCCACCAGACGATGCAATAGTTTATAAACTTCGTTCAGTGCACTGCTTTGAAGATGG